GCCCCCCGTGATAAACATATTGATATATATATATATATGTGTATATATATATATATATATATATATTGAGAAAAATAAAAGAAACCAATCGTTTTATGGTTGAAGCTGGTACTCTAGCGTCCTCTTGGCGTTTTGCTATAGTGGGGAAATTCCTTTATGGTCTTCCAAAGCTGGAGATCATTAGGAAAGAATTTGATGCTATGAAACTATTGGGCAGTTGGAACATTGGCCTGCTAGATGGTCGACATATACTTATTCAGTTATCTCACGATGTCGATTACACTCGCATTTTCTCTCAAAAAATTATCAAGATCGACAATTGTTTTATAAAAATTCTGAAGTGGACTGTCGATTTTGATCCAAAAGCGGAGTCCCATATCATTCCAATTTGGATAAAGTTTCCAGGGTTAAAATTACACCTGTTCAACATGAAAATCCTCTACTCTTTAGCAACTCTTTAGCAAAATCCTCTACTCTTTAGCAACTGCTTACAGTAAGTCTCTCAAAGTGGATAATCCTACGCTTGCTGTCACTAGACCCTCTGTGGCTTCTCTATTAGTTGAGAGAGATATTACTTAAACAACTCCAGATGAGATATGGATTGACACTATTCACAACGGGTATTGGCAAAAGGTTGAGATAAAACCACATCCACCTTATTTCCCTCATTGTAATATGTTTGATCATAGTTCTACTATTTGTTATCGCGTGCATGCTCATCTAAGGCCGAATGTAGCTAAAGATCAGTCACCTACTATCATTACTGAGAAGGTCCAATCCGATCCTTTTTCCAACATCGCAGTTCCAGATGAAGAACACCTTACTACAAGTACAGATCCAAATGTGTTGTTATCACTTACTGTTATTGAAGAAAAAGACCCACTTACATGTCGAGACATAGAAACTATTGTTCTATGATACATCATTGAGCATTGACAATATCATTATAAAGTAAATTAAGAGTACTAAAAGAATATTGAGAAGCAAAAACATTCTAAATACTAGTTAAATGCGTTGATCAACTAACTCATGATAATTTAATACACATAATAAAACACTTGCTATGTTCTTTCTATCTCCGAGTAAATTTCATCAAGAAAAACTTGCTAGGAATTCAAAGGAGCCACATTGTGGCTGATAAAAAATCTCCTATCAATTGCGGAATTGGGTGGGCTATGTTGACTCGCTAATATTTAAGAAAAAAAATAGCCTACAATATCTCAGTCTCGTATGCAACTACATGTCTGCGTCAAAGCCAAATTTCCAACATAAAATTGAGGCCTATTAAACTTATCACCATAGAATCATCCTCAAAATCCCTCACTGTCAACTCCATGAATCCATCTTTGCCACTACCTAACATGCACACCACATAACCTACAAGGGCTTGCCCACTTTAATTATAAAAAGATGATTAGGAGATAAAAAAGACATGTAATTTTAATATTGAAATAGAGCCTTAAAATTTAATTATTTAAGATTGAAATAGAAAAACATATTAAATTTCTGCTTATTGCAAACTGAACCTATTAATGTTTGATTTGTTAAAAAAATAATGCAGTACAAAATGAATATAATGCAGAAGTAATGTACTATATTTAAAATACTTTGGAGTTATTTCTGTCGGCATAAAATAAATGACCGATTTAGTAAAACTTGAATTAAAAGAGATCTAATGTGGGGAACATGAGGAAAATATCCATGATCACAAACCCCCTCCAAGGGCTCCGATTGGGGGAGGATTAGAGATTTCCGATGGAGGCGGTTGGGCCAAAACATGGAAAGGAGAATCTACAAGAGGAAAGGGGGAGCACAAAGAAGAAAGAAGATAAGCAGGGAAGGGATATGGTTGTGATCGAAGGAGGGAGTTTTACCCTCAAAATATTGGGGGAAATAGCAAAGAGAAAGGTAGTTGGGGTGGAGATGTTAAGAGTTAAGAAGTTGAAGGTGTCAATCTTCGAGGGGGAAGAAGCACATGTTAAGAGATTTACCCTCAAAATATGGGGAGATGTTAAGAGTTAAGAAGTCAAAGTCCAGAGGGAAGCTGCACGGGATAGGGATAATGGACAAGGATCGGGAGCAACACTCAAGCTACTTATAGAGACAAAGATTCGCGAGAAGTGAGCCAAGGGGTTACATATTCAATGTGATGAGAAGTTTACCCAAGGACACCGTTCCAAGGATTGAAAATTACAAATTCACATAGTGCATGACAAGGAAGCAAAGAAAGAAGAAATACTGGTTGTTTGTTGTGTGTCAGAGGGGGGTGGGTGGTGGGGGGGTTGGGGGGGGGGGGGGGCGTATTCTTACGTTGATTCCTAGCCTAAAGGCAAAGTTATCTTTGTATGCTTAAGGGCAATTTAGTCATTTACTATTAGTATTATTGGGTATAAATAGGTTCGTTATGTCTAGGTTTATGTTTATGCATAAGATTGAACTATGAGTCGTAGATTTAGGTTTTAGGAAAGATTTCTTACCATTCAAATCATAGGATATGGGAGAGATCGCCTACCTCTCGAATTATAGCTGTCTATCTTTATATTCTTGTTGAGTTGTTTGATTTATTACACAAAAGATGTGTTTGCTTAATTTTTATGGAAAAGCGTGCCGATTTTGAAGTCGAGTCATATCAGTTTACCACAGAATAGTGCCATTAAATTACAGGTATTTCTTGACATCATAGTTCCCCAATGTCCCAATCCCTTGAGTGATAAATAATGGATTGACTTCATAAAATACAATGCTCTATATTAACTAGAGTTGCCCTAAAATTTTTCAACATCACCATGTTTTGTCATCTTGAATGAAATTTTGATCGGATTCATTATCATTTGCACATCACCTACTCTAGACTAAAAACATTAAAATTTTTTCTAGGAATTGCTGCTACAATGTGCTAAAGACTTAGCATATAACAGCTAATATCAATTAAAAAGCATATAACAACTTATATCAATTAAGAAGGGTACATTATTATTGGGAGGGAAAATTAATCATAGAGGGTTTTGCTTATAAGAAATTTAGAACTAAATCATGAAATTCTTACAAAAAGAAATGAAATCTCCATTTAGCAAGTTATCCAAAAAATTTATTGTCTTACAAAATTTAACTCAAAACCCCAAAACTATATCAGGTCAATTAGACTTGAACTTTAAAATTTCACAGGCTCAAGTTTACAAATTTCATGGAGAAGCTACTTTGAATTTTAAGGTCATAACTTGATCTAAAAGAAGCAAACTTACCCCTATAACCTAACATATCATGATGCTTGAATACAACTTTGATTCATACATTCTGGGCAATGCATCAAACAATATATAGGTGCCAACTTGTCATTAATAACTACTTTATCAAATAAGCTACTGCCAATAGTAATTCACGTGATCTAGCCAATAAATTCTAAATCACGTGAAGGTAGTATTCAACTTATGACTGTCAAAATCCAATAAATCAACTTTTATTACAAAAGCAATCTCTTTTCTTCTATATGCAAGTCAAATCAAAGAATCGATGGCTCTTTATCACTTGAGGCCTCTTTGTGGAAGGGGTTTTCTTCACCCTAATAATCTGGTTTACCACAATAGTTGTTACGATTGACTTCCCCATGCTTTCTCATCTTAAAATTAGCAAACTTACACTGCGGTTAGAGGATCCCACTTTTCCATATCCTCCAAGCTAAGTTCGCCAACACCTTCTTGTGGGCTCCTCCTCAGCAATGTAGATTCCCTCAAATTAAGGTTTTATCCAAGGCAGGGGCAGTGGGTCTTGTCTTGGAGAAAGGTGAAAGCAACTAGTTAAGGTGGAAAAAGGACATTTGTGTAGGTAAACTGATTAGGTTATAATATGTTAGGGTGTGGAATGGAGATTAATGAAAACTTAAAGATTTAAGGTTTGTATGGCTCTATTATCAATTGATACATACCTTAGGTTCTTGGGTGGTGTTGAAGGATAGATAAAGGTTGAGGTAGTGCAAGATGGAAAGAAAATGGAAAAATATGAGAAAAAAAGCCTATTTGGAGGAAGAAAGGAGGTCAGGCCTACATGGGTGATATACATATATTTAGGAGGTTCCACTACATACTATTGATCAACATACAGACTCACCAATCGAAGGAGAAATATGCTACAATTCTCTGAATATAAAGAAAAATAGAGAACAATCTATTAAAATAATAAACGCAAGAAAAATTTCGGGCAGAGTTCTAAACAATATTTTGTGCTATAAAAGTACCAGTAACCCTAATCTTATTCATAAGAGATAAAGCGATCCTAAGAGCTGGTTGGCCCCTCAGTGGTGTAGAAATCATACACAAGAACCGGCTTAGGTCCTTCCGATTCGACATGGGACGAACACCCTAGTTTCACAACTTGGGGGGAAGATCACGCCCGTGTTACAATGCCCATCAAACTCTTCTAATACAATCTGATTCACTAAAGTTTTAAAACCAAGAGTCTGTTTGGGACAATTTTTTTACCTGTTATGTTTTTAGACAACCATCACAGTTCTGTAATTGATTTCTAGCTGCTTTTAAAAATTTTTGCGTTAGAAAGCTCTTCTTGTCATCCAGAGCTGTTAAAGTGTAATGCTTGTCAGAAATGTGCGGTCTAACTTTTTGAAAATAAAATAAATTTGCAACATCTATCATAAATTTTTGAATCAGTTTCTTCTGAAGCAACTTTACAGCTTCTTCAAACAATTGTAGCTGACCCAAACAGCCCCTCAGTCACATGACCAGTAATAAGATTTGTAAGTTCACTTTTCTTACATATATGAGAATTCTTAAAAATAAATTTAGGAAAAATTCTTCTCTCAAATGGTATGGGGTAAGTTTAAAAATAAAATAAGAGATATGAAGAAATCTAAAGTATCAACCATGCATAAAATGCATTTCACATAAACAAAACTGGCAAAATTCAGTTAGCTAGAAAACAAACCTTATAACAGCGCAATACCAAAGACATGAAAATGAAATGAGCAATTTATTAAGAAGAATACTCACTAGGAGACCTGTCAAAGCGTTAAGCCTGGATGCTACAAGCTGCAGCTTCTTAAGTAACACAGTAACCACAAGAGAGCCCTCTGATATACTATTGTTAATCTCACGAAATAACCGTTCAACCCTGAAATAGATATTTAAAATAAGTAAAGCTTCAAAATAAAGCATAAAATAAGAATGCCAAACACATGTTCATCATGATAAAAATAGGTTCTATACCAAAGTCTTCCCTCTCCACCATCAACTATAGATTGCAGAATGTTCTTAGCATTATAGTAGCATTCCTGGACTGCATAAGCCATGTACTCGTCCCTAGATATCCGGTTCCATAGATCAGCTTGTGTATCTTCACACCCCCCAGCCAATTCAATGGCATATGGGATCTAGAGCAACAACTGAAATAGTTAGAGATCACAGAAATGCAAGATACCCAAAATATATATATATTATATATATAAATAAATAAAAAAATATCTAAGTAAAAAAATCGAGGCTAAGCATCAGACCTTGCTACTCAAAAGAAACAATGGCCACTGAACTAATCTTAAACTTCCTGAATTGCTTGGCATAGAAAGCAAATCCATTTCCCTGTAAGACACATTAGTCTTGCATTGTTGTATATAAAAATTACTACCATTAAAAATATCAAAAGATATCCAAACGAACACATTCTCCTCTACCTATTATTGATATAATCTTCTTCTCGAAGGCTTTTTATGATCTCATTCCAAAATGGAGAAAATGTAGCCGCATTCGCCTTATTAAGATCCTGATGTTCCTATTCAAAAAATAAAAAAATTTGTTTTGACAAGATCAAGTTAAATAAAAATGCATTTGCACATAGCACCCAAGGAATTACAATATTTTATTAGTAAAATATCAGACAGGCAATATAGCGAACATTAATACTCATGTATTTAATATTTTACCTCCGAATTTAGAAAAACTTATTATATATTACTTTATTAAAATAAGAAGAAAAAAAGAAAAGATTCTTCATATATCAAAACGGATGAGAGGATATAAAACATAAAATATGAATGCCATGTTTTCAAAGTTCATCATAAACGTATTTTCTTCAGAAAAGAAATGGAAAATAAACAAATTAATAATTTGCACGAATTATATGAATATAACGGCATATTGTTTACTAATCTACAAGATATCAAATCAAATAGCATATTAAAACTAAATAATAGAACAGTTGCACATCAAACTGTAATTTTGCTACTGAACCAATTTCCAACATAATAAATAAACTTTTTACCCGCTCATCAATGAACCTATATGCATGCTTAATATGAATAAATTACCAACATATTAAATACATCACATTATCCTAAAAGCTTCAATGCATAACAAAAAATGTCATGTAGTTTTACAAATGTATCAGCTACTCGCGTTTTTGATAGCATAGCGAGTATCAAGGTCAATGTTTTCATTTTCATCATGGAGTTTCCTAATCAAAAACAAGAACATATCTTTCCATGAGGCTCCATAACTCACAAAAAGTTCGGAACAAGTCTCCTATACAAATTATTCATCCATCTCAAATCAAACGAACCATATTAGATACTAGCATTCTATAGTAGGGAGGAAAAGAGCAGCTAAAAGGATCTTCAAGGTTCAGGGTCATAAAGGGTTGGATGAAAAATATCAAGAGTATAACACTATTGAAAAACTTGCTGAAAGAGGTTTAACTTATGAAGATATCTAATTGCCTAGGATAGATTGGAGCAATATTCCTGAAATGGTTTATGATGAGAACAAGACAATGCTAAACTTCATTTCCTCCAGTTTAGGAAATGAGTTGGTAGCATTGGAATAAAAGTTGCAAGCCTTAATGGGTTTTCCTTATTTTTTCATTGTACAAGTTTGGGATATCATTCATGAAGAACTGGATGATTCAATTATTGAATTCTTCAATGGAAATTTCTTATTAAGATAATTTACAGAAGTTGTCACACCCCAATTGGCCACCTCCTTAAGGGTCGGCTGAGGTGTGATCGAGACAAAATATTCGATAGGACTAAATTCAGGCAAACACTCATCCTGACTTGCAGAATCAGGATCCAAAGAGTGCTGAACTAGTCTAACTAAGAGAATGTTTGGAGCAGCCACAACTTATTTAAAAGTTGTTGCGCAGCAGCTGTGACAAGAGGATGTTGCGCAAAAACTACTGCAGATATGTTGACTATCTGTCTGTTTTTCGTACTTTTAAAACAGTTTTTCTACAGTTGTTTCTGGATAAATGATAATTTTGCCGGAGTACTGCGATGTTGTTTACAACATAACGATTTATTATATAACACAATTCATACTTGAAAGCAAATATCCAGTTTGAACATTCAAAAATTAAAATATACACCTCACTAAATAGTGAGTAGAACGACCATCAAATGTAAAAAAAACTAAAATAAAAATTAATAATATGATAATATTATTTTTAAAATGCAGCTTGTGTATGTCACGAGATAAGCCATCCTCCAATAAAACTCTCCACGTCCGATCACTCTCGACGGTGGAATCATCCAACCCATTTGCCCACCTAAACAAGTAAGATTTTGTTCTTCTTCTTGGACAGTTATAAAACTGTCTCTCGTAGTCATGTAGTTGTCGCAAATTAAGTAAAGAACATTGTAGTTTGCAGTACCAGTACAATGCTCTAAAGGCACCAGAAATCCTTAAATTTATCTTTCTGAAGGCTTAAAAACACAAAGCACACACCCTTAGATGTAACATTAGTAAAATAAATAGTAGAAGTAATCCAAAAAATTTTTATGCAACTGCGATGTCTCAGAAAACACATTATATAAACCAAAGAATCTGTTACTACAAAAAAACAACAAGCTTTATAAAAAAAATGGTTATTAGTTGTCTCTAACCCATTCAATGTCGAGCTTGTGTGTCACATATGCATGTCGGTCAACTTTTTCGATTAATAGATTTATTTGAAAATATGAAATATGAAAATAATTTTGGAAATTTAATTTAATATAATAAATATATAATTTGAGTTTTAAAAGTAGTATGTTTTAATTTAAAAAAAAAAATGAGACCAAGTGGATCTCATTCGTCCAATAGTTTGCATAATCGTGTCTGATACCGCGAATACTACACTTTCCCGAAAGATAAGTATAGACCTCGGCGATAGACCCAATCCTGCAAACCAAGAGATTTGTGACATCCATTTAGTCTGCGAACCTTTTATATATGACCGACAAATTCCCCTATCTAATACAAAGATTAAATAGGGTTTATTTTACCTGGATTCCAAGTTCCCTATAGAGGCAAGCCCCTATAGTTAATTACATCCCAAATGACGGAAGTCACTTGAGAAAACTCTCGATAATGATCAATGGTTCTAGTCTTCAAGAATTCAAAGTTTAGGTTTTCAAGGTAGGACATGGAAAAAGGCAAGTGAGAGTGGCTCAAATAGGAACAGTTATTTCAGGAGTCCAAATAAAAGAAAAGGTAGGGGATGTCATAGATCCT